GATGGCAGTCAAATGCAAAGGGCACTGTAGTTCTTCAGTCTGAAGAGAAATCATGGATCACACTAATGAGGCAATTAATTAGTGTGATCATGGATCACACTAGTGGTTTACACCATGGCAGAAAGCAGACCATTCTCTAACAGGCTCTCAATCAATGAGCCTGATCTCCCCCTGTAAATAAAACAGGGTCATTCAACAGGCCCCATCCTTCTACAGTGGGGGAGGCAGTGAGGCTTAGCACAGAAGAAATTTCTATCCTTCTCCCATACTAATTTAGAATCTGAAAACTCTGCAAAACAAAAGATTTTGGAAATAAAACAGTGAACAAACTAAGGGAATAAATTTGCAAAGCAGTGTCATTTCCCTAAGGCAACTGTTCTACTCTACTTGAGAGTCTCCTTCTCCATTCACATTAAGTACTCTGTAAGTGAGAAAGGCCTGGTGGCCAAAAGGGCCAGGCAACCTGGGAGGTGATATACATAAGAGCAATGGGCTGGGAGATGTCTTGTGAGAAATGCCATCAGAGTGGGATTTAGCATTCCTCCCAGGGGAGCTATAAAACTTTCACCATGACAGATGAATGGAGGACCAAGGATCATAGAGTCTTCTATTCCACCAGGCAACCTAGAATGGTCTCATGGACAGCAGTAGAAGTCCAGGAGGCCACTTTGAACTTGACACAGGGAAAGACAAAAGAATAGTTCACACATATGCACTATCTGGGATAAAAGTGACAGGTTTAAAAACTTAAAAGCTTCAGCTCGACACTGGCTATGCAATGATTTTTTTTTTTTTGATGTGACACTAAAAGCACAGGCAACAAAAGCAAAGTAGACAAGTCCACCAAACAAAGTTTCTTCACAGCAAAAGAAAAATCATCAGAACAAAAAGGCAACATAAGATATGGGAGAAAATAACTGTAAGTCATATATCCAATAAGGGGATGATATCCAACATATACAGAAATTCATACAACTCAATGGGAAAAAATTAAAAATGGGAAAAGGACTTGAATAGGTGTTTTTCTGAAGACATAAAAATGATCAATAAACACATTAAAATGTGCTCAACTTCACTAAATATTAAGGAAATGCAAATCAAAACCACAATGAGATATCACCCTTGTACTTGCTAGAATACCTACTATCAAAAAGATCAAAGACAACCAGTGTAGGTGAGGATGTAGAGAAAAGAAAGTCCTTGTGTACTGAATGTCAATTGGTGCAGCCAATATGGAGGTTCCTCAAAAACTAAAAGTAGGATTACTCTATGGTTCACCAATTTCACTTCTAGGTATATATCTAAAAGAACTGAAACCACAATTCACAGTAGTCAATATATGCAAACAACCTAAGTGCCCATAGCTAGATGAATGGGTATGAGGCACATACAGTCATCTTTGTAACCAAGGGGAAATTATTTCAGACCCACAAACACAGATACCAAAATCCATGAAAGCCCAAATCCTTTCTATAAAATGATACAGCATTTGCATAAGTCATGCATATCTTCTCAAACACTTTAAATCATCTCTAGATAAAGCACAGGACGAGTATGCTGAATCTACAGAGCACTGATGAAGGAAATCTAGAAAAGTCTAAATAAATTAACATGCAAACATCATTTATGAACAACTCTGTTGTAAACAATCCCTTAGGGCCCCTGCCAGCAGCAAACCCCAAACCGCTCCCACTGAGACTGTCACTCCTGCCAAGGACAAATTCAGTATCTAACTGATTAAAGAAGAACATGGTTTCTCCATCAAACAACTCGACCCGCACGCAGCCTCCAGGGGGATGGGAGCCAGAGCTGAGTGAGAGGACACTAAATGGAAGAAGTGTCCCACAGCTTCCCCCAGGAAGGGTCTTTATTCTGACATCATCTGTGTCTGATCCATAGATATCTCCAAGAGAACACAGCCTCCAATCGCGCATTCAGACGATCAGATCTGAAGCAAAGAATATGCAAGCCCTGAGACACGGAAATAAGAGGCAGCTGTCCCGGTAACCCTGAAAGTATATTCTTCATAAAAAAATAAATAAATAAAAAAAATTCTTCCCAATGCTAGTTCTACCCCTGGAATGGTGGGAAGCTTAGAGTCAACAGATCCTATACCTTCTATCCCATGAATTTGAGTGTGGGGTCATTCCTGGATGAAAAGGAGAGAAAATATATCAGAGGTCAGCCCCCAGGCATGTGATCAAGGGAAGTCAAACACAAGTCCTTCTACTATTCTTTTAGCTAAGACCACTCAAGGTGGCCATTGATAAATGTTGGCAGATTAGTAAATAAACTTAAAGCCAGTTAAGTGGTGTGGTCACAGAAAGAGAAGAAATTCATTTGGTTTTTTTGTAGCATTTTTTGTTTTTTGGTGGTACTGGGGTTTGAACTCAGGGCCTCATGCTTGCTAGACAGGTGCTCTACCACTTGAGCCACTCTACCAGCCCCCTCATTTGATTTTTAGTGCCTTTTTAAATAACCACCCGTTCATTAATTGTCAGATTATGTGTGAAAGGCTCCAAAGATAATCCCAGTGAAATGTTTCTGGCAAAAATTTTCAGTGATTTAACATAAAATTTCCCCATCATCTTGGTTTCAAATAGGACATAGGTTTCAAATAGGCAAATCTATAGATAGAGAAAGTAGAAAAGTAGTTCCTTAAGACTGGGAGGATGGAGGGCATTAGAAAGTGACTGCTCAGAGTTACGGGTTTATTTGGGGGCTAATGAGAATTCTAAAATTTATTGTGATGGTTGTGTAAACCTGTGATTACATATAAAGTCACTGAATTTTACACTTTAAGTGCGTAAATTGTGCAGATCTGAATTATACCTCAGTAAAGCTGCTAACACACACACACACATACACACACACACACACACACTTCTGGCAACTAAAGTGGAGCCCATGAATTTGTTTAAACATGGGTTTAAACTTCCTGTGCGTTTATTGACATGATAAATATTTACATGTTTATGAATAGTTATAGGTCCCACTTTGGTGTTCACCAGAGCAGTGTGGCCTCTGCATGTTTGTCTCATGGATGCTGCATTTCTCTGTGCCTGTCCTTCCAGATCAGGGGCTCTTTCTTTTGTTCTTTTTGGTCAGAGAAGATCAGACGGCAATGCTGCTTTCCAGGCTAGCTCATAGAAATGAAAGAGCTTGGATTGCAAAGGGAAGATGTCATGACAAACCAGAGTGAGCCTGAAGGACAAGGACCTGGAAGCCAGGAATGTTCCCCAGTTTGACCATGCATGCAACAGACCAGAGAAGAAGAGAGGAAGGGAGCCCCATTTTTTATTTTGTGATATTTATGATCTAATTAGGGGAATGGTAAGTATCAACATTGGAAAATCCAGAAAGAAACAGAATAAGACTTACTACTTATCATAGGAAGAAATTCATCCCCAGAGGTCCTTTGCCTGAGTTTTTCCACATTATTCCAGGAAAGCCAAACTATACAACTACAAGACAAACTCTACAACTACAAGACAAACTCTACAACTACAAGACAAACTCTACAACTACAAGACATAATTCTGAATTATGAAAAGCAGACATTAACAGAAGAGTGGCAGTGATGATGGGAGAATGTGGGACAGGTGCTTTCTGTAAGAATGTCAACATCACTAATAGTTTTGCTTTGCAAACCTCAGACTCAGCATGGCCACCTTCAGGACTGTGGCCTCTTCCCTAACCACAGACTGCGAGTACTGGTGCAACCTCCTTCTCAAGCAAAGCAGAGACATCTCAACATGATCCCTAAGCACTGTTTGCCCTGCACTTGCTACTGGGCTCACTGCAGATGCCTCTAGAAGTAAGGGAACAAAAGGACTAATCTTCTTTTTTTTTTTTTTTTTACCATTTCTTTTTCAATGCTAGAGATAGAACCCAGGGCCCCAGAGTGCCAGGTGAGCACACTAACATTGAGCCACCAGCCCCAACCCTATTATCTTTTAAATACAAGTTTGAACTTTGAAAAATAAGCTTAGTCACACTTTGAAAAGTACATATAATAATAAAAACACTAAGACTCAAATTAACTTGCCCAGTAAAGTTATTCAATTTTTCCAAACTTCTTCATATGCTAAAAATGGTGGCAGAAGAAGAACAATGTATTATAAAACCACATAGTCCAGTGATTGCTATATTAGACACAAAAATAAGAAAAATAGTAGCTAATGTGCACTGAGTATTATTATTTATAAAACACTCTTCTAGGAGTATTTAATCCTCACAACACTCTCCTACAGAGGTCACCAAACTTTTCCCATAAAGGCCAGATAACAAATATTTTCAACTTTCCCAGACATATGTTCCCTATCCCAACTACTCAGCTTTTCTGTTTTAGTTCAAAAGCAGCCATAGGTAATATGTAAATGCATCAGTGTACCTGTGTTTCAATATAACTTTATTTATGAAAACAGTAAATGGAACATCATTGGCCAACCCATGCCAAAAGGCAAGCTCTATCATTGTCTCCATTTTACAGATGAGAAAACAGAAGGACAAAGGGATCTACTGACAGCCCAAGGTTTCCATAAAGTCTGATTATGAATTACTCAGAGACAACTATTATATCTAAGCAGCAACTGATATCACCAAAATTCTCAGTAAGTCTCTGACTCAGTCCAAATACAGGTTTTCCTAGTTCAAGAGGTGCTGGCCAGTCAGTCACTGGACAACATTCTCAGGGCTGCCCACAGATTGAAGACTAACTCAGTCCTTCCACTTCCCTTCTTCCCCATCTCTCCCGACATTCCTGCCTGGAGTTCTCCCTGTCTCCTCTGAACCCTCAGTGCTCTGATTCTTTGCACCTCCCAAATGAACTGCCTTCTATTATATATTTTCCCCAATCCCCTTGGAGATCAGGATCACCCAGCACAGGGGCTCAATTTGCACACTGGTGGTGCAGCTGTGAACCTGTTGGTAGAGTTTCTACAGGCTGAGACCCTAAGAGCCTGGAGAGAAGGATGGAGATAACAAGCTCAGGCACTCACCAATCCATGGCAGGCACTGAGAGCTGCTGTCCCGATTGTGGTGCCCTGCTGTACAACTGTGCCCCTGAGATGGCAACGGGGCCCTGAGGAAGCCATCATCTTAACATGGGACAGGTTCCCATATCTCTTCTCCAAGATGTAGCCATTGGAAAGAAATCCCTGATTGACCGTCAGGTTAAAAATCAAGTCTTTCTGTTCATGTAAAATTCTATAGTACACCCAGTCCTCTGAGCCAACCACATCTCTCTTCCTTCTGCTGCTGGGGACAGGATAGTGCAGGCCATATGACAAAAAATCCCCACTGGCATCTACTCGGACAGGCTCCACCACATGGTATTCCGTCAAGGCCTTGATAAAATGCTCTGAAAGAAAAGGAAGCAGAGAATAAAACTGAGAGATCAAGGCTAAGTGTGTAGCAAGGCAAACCCTCTTCCATTTGGAACTTAGATTCTATCCTAGCTTGCCCACTGAAAATCCACCATGGACTTGAAGCTTAAAGATCTTTTCCACCATGCAAACACCATCAACATTGTACCCCCTCAGCTTTCTCATCACATGCAGCAGTGCAGATTTAAGGCAAAACTCTGGATATCAGATATTTTATCAGACATCTTAAGTTGAAGAATACTGTTGGAAAGGAGCAAGACTGCCTGATGAACAAGGACACTGCAAGTCTTGAAAGTTCACTGACACAAATTGCAGAGCACTTCTGTTTATGACAAGGTGCTTAAATGCCTCAGCAACACCCTGCTGAGTCAGGTTAGAAGACTAAAAACACAATGACCCATCACACACCTGACAAGCTTTGCAACAGTGACAGCATCAGAGTTCTATGGTGTAGCAGAGTGCTCAAAGGAACTTGGGGGTTTTAATAGTACATCCTACATAAGATGGTAAGAAAGCATATTGGAATCTGGCTCAAAATATGAAAAGTGCCATTTTAAAAAATGCAGGACAAAGACACTTTTCCTTTGCACACACAAGAACACATACACCTCTTGACTCACCCAAAATTAAACCCCCACCAGCATCCCCTTATTTTGATATTTGCAAATAACAAAGAATCTAACTAGCAGAGAATTCTCACCATTCTGGATTAAAACTAAAGCAGACCATCAACTACCTAGTAAAATAAACTAATCTTTTGCTTAAGGAGGGAGGGAGGGAGAGAGGGAAGGAGGGAGGGAGGAAGGAAGGAGAGGAGGGAGGGAGGGAAGGAAGGAAGGAAGGAAGGAAGGAAGGAAGGAAGGAAGGAAGGAAGGAAGGAAGGAAGGAAGGAAAGAAGGATTCTAGTTGCCCCCTCCCAGCTGCAGTCCTTGTATTTTCTAACTTGCATTAGTTTGCTCATGTTACTTTACCAACTAGAATGTCTTATGCATTCTATCAAAATCATATTTATGTTTTAAAGCTCAAACTCAAGGTGCTGTATATAGTGGTGCATGCCTGTAATCCCAGCACTTGGGAGGCTAAGGCAGGAGGATCATGAGTTTAAGGCCAGCTTGGTTTATAAACCAAGACCCTGTCTCAAAAAACAAACAAACAAACAAAAACAACCAAGAAAACAGAAGGAAAGGGGAAAGAGGAAAGGAAAGAAAAAAAGGTTCAACTCAAATTCTTTCTCTTCATTCTCCTAATGGCTGGATTGAAGTTCTCTTTCCCCTAAACCCTCATGTCCTTACTTTCGGTACCTCCCAGAACGACCTTATTTTAACACTGTCTTTTGTTTGTTTTACTGTTTATCCCTAAATCTTTTGGAGGCCAGAATGTTAACATCACAGATTCTCGGTTCATATGTGCTGCTGTAACAGTGAACATATTTGTAGCTGGTGAATTAAAAGGGACTTGATAGGGTACAATTAAAAGGAAGCTTTTTTTTCATTCCAAAGAAATGCCTTCAAACATAATTTACAAAACCATTTTTCTCTGCCTTGGATGAAATATGGGTCAGATTACAAAGTTTCCACTCTCAGCTACCAACAAATATTCTTAAATTTTTAAGTGTACAAGGTTCAGACCCATTACTTACAACTATAACACTTAGGCAAAGCTGACCACATAGCAACAAGGACAGGCCTTAAAAACAATGTTCAGTGAAGAGTGAGAAATAAGACAAGTTCATACAGAGCTATTTACATTAATGGAAAATACATGCACACACACACATACAAAATAATAGAAAGTTTTCCAGAACAAGCCAACAAAAAACACACATGGAGCCCATTAACATGGATTTCCATGGGGAGGAATGGGAATGGGGAGTGAGGACAAAAATGAATAAATATGTAAAACAAAGGAGAGTTTCTGCACAAATTAATGACGCTAGTGTGCCATGAACCGAGGAGTACAACTGGCTCAGTCCCACCTACACCTCTCACTCACAAAAATGTCTGGGCCAATCTGATATTACAAGTTCAGAGCTAAATGAAGATGAAGAGAGGAATGGCCAGGTTGGGTGGACGTAGCCAGCTTCTGTAGTATTTTCCTCCTCTTGCTCTTCTCCACTGCTATTCACAATGATGCCTCTAGCTGCTCCACATTGGAGCAGTGGAAAGAAGTCAGGAGCAGAAAAAGTTTTACTCTGCTGGATGTAGTTGTTAACTGGCAATGTGGTGCCTGTGTGTGGTCGGTGTCCAGATGCTAAGACCTTCTCTCAAAAGAAGCTCTCTGAGCTTTGGGAGACTTCTCACTGGGGATTGTCCCAGTCCCTCCATGTGGGCAATTCTTCCTCCAACTGGCCACCCTCCACCCTTGTACTGAGGCCACCTCACCCATACAAAGTAACCTCTTCTGCACCATTTCAAGCTAAAAGAGTCAGAAGCATGGCTCAAGTTGTAGAGCACTTGCCTAGAAAGCGCAAAGCCCTGATTCAAAACCTAGTACCACAAAAAAAAGTGTAAAATTGAAAATGTTTATGGTGTTGATATGGGAAGTATGTTTTTTACTTTTGAAATTTGTATTCTGTATGTTGTTTTACCGGTACATGTAAACAGAGGAAAAGGACTGGATGTGAGAGGTATTACCTGGCTCTGAGAGGTCCGGAGAGACCTCAGTAGGGAGGTGAGTTGGGGATGCCACTGGCACCTTGGGAAATCAGTGTAATCGTCACAGCACCTCAGAAGCTATCAGAAAAAGAGCCAGTCTGCCCCCAAATCCCTCATGTGGTCTCTTCTTCTCTTACTTGCTCCCACATTGATACTATATACCATGTAGTAGATAGCCAGAGGCCATCACCAACACTCAAACTGATGCCCTTACCACCCCAATCTTAGTCTTTCAGCCTCCAATCAGTGAGCTAAATTAACCTCATTTTTTTATATATTAGCCAACTCAGGTATTTTGTGATAGCAACAGAAAACACTTGTCTTAGCTTCTACTCTCCTGGCTGTAAAGGGACAATAAAGAGAGGTGAAGATTCTTGGACTTCCAGGCCCACACTTCTAACCTCTGTCCTCATTGGTTCTTGAGTGTCTACCACTAAGGACCAGATCAGCACATAGGTGTTAACAAGTGTGGGAGGGGGGGAGGCCTGAGACACAGTACAATTACATCACAGCCTGTGCTAAGCATTTATGGAAAGAAATTATAAGCCATGAGTACTTTCACTTGCCTTGTTTAAAATTAGATTGGAAAACTTAGGCCAGATGTTTCAATTACTTGAAACTTTGAGTGAAGCATTTTTGAAAACAGGGAACACTGAGAAATCTCATCTTAGAAAGAAAAGCAAGACATGAGGGAATATTCACCTGGTTTTGTAAGATTTAGGTTAAATCTATACTTCATTGTGTTTTGCACATCATCCTCGTATGGCAGCCATGCATGTGCAGTAAGGGAAGGTACAGAATAGACTCAATCTTTCTATGCATTTCTATATTGAAAATAATTGAATTTCTAAGACTCCTTTACTAAAAAGGGTGAGGAAATTTCTGTGACAGGCATATTTTATTAATTATATTCCACAGGCTATTGTAACTATACAATTGTGTTATTATCATAGAAATTGTGGCAAATTGTGGAGAACGGTGTAGGTCCCTTTAAAATTGTAAAATGGTCACAGGAGGTTGAATTTGCTCACCAACCCTATAATTCATCTGCTGACCAGATATAATATTAATTATATCAACACAAATTTTTAAAGTGTGAAGTCTCCTTCCTTAAAAAAAAGAATAATTTCCTGCTTGCAGAAATTTTTTCTAAACACAATAGATGATTATAGATTTTGTCTTGAAACACTGCTACACTCCCTCTGTTCTTATGAAAGCTTGTGCACACTGAAGCCCATCTCTAACATGGGATAAAATGCCTGTCCTGTTGACTTCAGAAGTGCCAAGAGCAAGACAGACCATGGAAGTGACTGTGTACCTTGTAAACAGTAAGACGACCCCTGGCTTACAACAGTCGGTTTTTTGTTTTTTTTTTTTGACTTTACATTAGTGCAAAAGTTATGGGCTGGGCAGTAAAAACCACTACACAGTTTTGATCTTTACCCAGCTAGTGATATTTGGTGTGATACTCACTAACTATCACTGAGCATCAGGCCCCAGTCAGCCCTGTGATCAGAAAGGGAAACAACCCACAGTCTACAGTGTACTGTGTTGCTCAGCTGTGATGTATGGTGAGTTAGGTGCATTAAATGGATTTTTGTGTGTGTATGTGTGGTGCTAGGGCTTGAACTCACGGCCTTCACCATGAGTCACTCCACCAGCCTTATTTTTGTGAATGGTTTTTCGAGATAGGATTTCGAAAACTATTTGCCCAGGCTGGCTTTGTACCACAATCCTCTTAATTTCTGCCTCCTGAGTAGCTAGGATAACAGGGGTGAGTCCAAGGGCACCCTGCTGAATTTTTGATTTGATGATACTTTCAATTTATGATGGCTTTTTTGGAATAGCCATAATCAATTGTACACCAAGGATCTGCACAGAGATAAACCTAAGGCGGTATTATCCACTAGAGAAGACAGCAAGTGGTGTGCAAGACTAGTATTTCCTGTGTTCTGGTATTTGATAGTGAATCAAGAAACCTTAGAGAAGTGCATTCTGAGCAGTGTGGGAAGATTACTGATTAGAATTAGTCAAACTGTCTGCTTCAAGTCCTAGACAAGATTAGATTCGTCTTCATATACTTTCTTAGAACTAAAATCTTGACTCTACCAAATCCTGAGAACAAGAAGGAACGTGAAAGGCTACGTAGTGTGTGGATGTGTTTCCAACTGTGAGATCCTACACAACTCCCTTCAGCCCCCTGGTAAACTGGTGTTTGGTGGGTGTTCAATAAATACACGTTGACTAATAGACTGCCCATCTTCACCTCCCATTTCTTATCTGTGAAAATAAGAAAGATGGGTGGGAGGATTTCTGAAATGATTTGCAAGTTTAAATGTTCAGAATTTGAGTGCAATTCAAAAATGCTGATGAAGAGGAAATGGAAGGTCATTTATTAGCAAAACTCAGGTCATTTATTCCCAGGAGGCTTCAGAAATTCCTCCTCTCATTAGTTCTCATTCTCTCTCTCTCTCTCCCCCCACCCATTAGTTCTAAATGGAAGCCAATCTAGAAATTTCTCCTTAGAATAAACAGTAGACTACTTAATTCATTCAGGTATTAAGATTGGTGAAAAAACTTTTTAAAGCAAATTATTTTTCAGCCTAAATGTATTTGAGTCACTCATAAGCTTAGAGCACTTTACAACTATTTTTCAATATCAAATATTCTCAACACATAATCCTAAAGATGACTAGGAAAAATAATCATATCTCACTTTCCAGGGAGGGTAAAGCAAGGTCCATCGGTGTCTGTTCCACACCAGGCTGACTTCCCTTACAAAGAAGATGTGTAGCAAGCAGAGCTGAAAACCAACCCAACCAGGGCAATGTGTGTCTTCAAACCAAATCATTCCCCAATGCCCTGGGACGTGCTTCTTTGTGCTGCCCCAGAAGAGAGACTTTTTACAAAGGGACTGTTTTCCAAAGAACAACCAGAGCTGCTATTTTAAACTTGGGGGTAGGAGATTGTATCTGGAATGTTTACACAGGCGAGTGCTGGGTGATTGACATCTAACCCCAGTGTTTGCTGCCCTGGCTCTGTCTTCTAAGTAAAGCAGAGGGAGGGATTTGCATGATAGCTCTCAAAGCTGCAGCCTAGGAGTTGACCAGCAGCATTTGAACTTTGCAATGTGGGCTGAAAATCCTGCCTGGCAATACCCAAAACATGGACAAGATGGTGATGTTTTGTCACCCAAATGGCCTTGGGAATTAAAGAGATGTCAAAAAAGCTGTGAGGATACTTCCTTACCTGAGCACAGTAAGCAAACATAGGACTCAATGAGCGAGCACTAGTCCAGCTCTCTCTCTGTGTGTGTGTGTGTGTGTGTGTGTGATCCCTACTACTGCTACCAGGCAGGGCTGCATGATTTTCAGAGTCGGTGCAAAACTTGGTGCAAAACCTCACTTCACTGTTTGCAAGACACATATGCTCTCCAAGCCTCAGCTTCCCCATCTGTAGAGTAGGATGGGAGCAGAAGGGTGTTGTTAGTGGTGAGTTGGGCTGACACACACAGGCCACTACAGCTGTTCTGACTGTGCCCTCCCCCAGGCACCATACACTCCCCATCAAACAGGAAAGTGTCTCTACCCTTTTAAGTCCAATAAAAGTACCACCTTACTCTGGATGCTCAGTTTAAAAAATAATAAGTAATAAACTGCCCACCACAACCGTCCCAATGCTTTCTGTCAAATCATATGTTTCTTGAAATTCAGAAAGAGGCAGCCAACAGCGATCAGCAAGGCAGGACAGGGAAAAGGCAATCTCTACGGAGGTAAATTTCCCACAAAAGGACTGTTGTTTAAAAAACACAACCCTAAATCTTTCCAGGAAACTCAAACACAGCCAAGTGTGCTCAGCAGGGGAGCGGAATCACATTTCCCCTTCCTCAACCAGGAGTTAAAAACTAACTGGAAATGGAAGGACTGTCCGTGAATCACTGGCATATTTTTATAAAAATAATTTTCCATGTCAGAATCCGAAAAAGAGAGAGTTGAAACAGTGCAGCATTCAAAGAGGAGAAGAAAGAAAGGGGACGGGGGGAGGGGGAGAGAGAGATCTTTGGGTCTTGCAAAGACTGCAGTGTCGCCCATGTGCAAGTGAGCGGGACACTCACCTTTCAGTGAGAACCGAGGCATCCTAGCCTTAAACACTGAATCCCGAGAGCGCATGGTACTAAGCCCCAGCCCAGTGTCCTTACCCCCAGCCGAATGGTTTGGCAGGGTTCAGGTCCGCCCAGCTGGGGGAAGGGAAAAGAGAGCACCAAGTTCCACGGGTTTTACCGCCACTGTTTTGAAAAGAAAGAAAGCAAAGCCACTAACCTTGCCTGGGGTCCGGGAAGCGAACAGGGCCTGGCTGAGGTTGTGTCCCGTGGCAAAGCGCCCCAAAGTTAAGGAGCTGAACCACCACGGAGAGATTTGCAAGCCAACTCCTCCGGGCACATGGCATGGTTCAGTTGTTGGAGAGGAAAAAAAAAAAAAAGTCAAAAAGTTTTAGCCCTCAGCTCCAGAAATCAAGTCCTCGCCTGTGGTCGCGCACGAAGATGCCGGGGTGCATGGTCCAGGCGTGGGCAGGGAGCGGCCAAAGCTGCCCACGATCGCCAGTGGCTTTTTTTTAAGCGACAGGGGCTGGATACCTTTTTCCCCCCCTCTCTGCTACTGAAAGGGGAGTGAGCAGCTGACAGTGTCTGCGTTCGGCCGGGTGTGGAATGGGTCCGAGCAGGGCGCAGCCCACCCCGATCCCCACCCGATCCCCACCCCTCTGCCTTGCACGCCCACGCGGCCTCCAGCCAGCTCGCATCTTCCTGCGGGACTCCCTCCTCCCCCGCGCTCCTCCCTCCAGCCACAGCTGGGACAGCGAGCCAAATAGGGGAGACCCGGGACAGACACCCTGGGCAGCACTAGGGGAAGCTGCCAGTGAGAGGCCTCCAGGCCTTCCCCACGCAGGACCGAAATACTGGAGCAAACGTTGAGTGAAGGGCTATAGGGACCCCCACTCCCTAGGGTGTCATCCCAGATCAGCGCTGCCCCCTTGCCTGGCCTTCTCCCAGTTCCCAGGATTTGTAACAAAGCTCTGTGAGGACTCCTCACTTGGGTCTCCCTAAGATCCTCTTTCAGGTTAGGCTAAGACTTTCACTTAAAAAACTATTAAGCGATTTTTCTCTTATCTTTTTCACACAAAGGGAAATGGTCCGAGCTAATCGGCCAGCTTGGCCCTGGAAAAGTCCTGTTCTGTCGTGTCCACAGGGAGGGGAATCTGCCGGGGAGGCCCTGTGAGTCTGCAGGTCAGTGCCTGCTTTTCTACTCTCCTAACCCACCTCCACTCCCCCAAAAGGAAGCCAGCAGAGTGGAGGAAGTAGTCAATCCAAGAAGGTGTCAAGGAATTTAGGCAGTTTACCTGCTAGGGCTTTCCATGGTGGGGACTGGAGGCATCCATTCAATATTCAAGGTTTTTCACCAGTGAGAAAATGCCACAAACTTTGGTGCTTGCCAGGCATCCTGAGAATTTTACTGCGATAATCCAGCCAAGATTCTTCACCTCCAAGCTAAAACAGACCTCCTTACTCTATTCAGGAGGAATTTGGCTTCAAGATGGAGCTCTCCCTAGCTGACAGCCAACTACATCCTTCTGCAAGAGGTTTGGGATACCAGCTGAGGCAACCATGCACAGGGACAGGGTAGCCAAGCCAACCACTGGAGCCCAAATGCAAGTTGGTCCTTGCAGACCTGGGATGAGTGGTCTGAAGGATTTCACACTGAAATACATAAAGAATTTTTGAGGGGTATTATGTTGGTTTCCTGTAATTTGCTGGTACAAATTACAACAAATTTATTATCTTAAATTCTAGAAGTCTGAAACAGGTCTTGACGGACTGCAATTAAGGAACTAGCTGTTGTTAGGTAGAATCTGTGTTCAATCCTTTTCCACCTTCTAGAAGCTTCCCAAATTGGCTCAGGGCTTTTTTCCCCCAACTTCAAAGTCAGTGATGGCTGCCAGAGTCTTTGTCATATGGCATCGCTCTGATACTCTTCTTCCTCCCTTTTCTACTTCTGAGAACCCTTGTGATTAGATGGTCTTACCCCCATCATCCAGGATTCACAAGCTTGTCAGCTAATTAACAGCTCTAATTCCATCTGCAACCTTAAATCCCCCTTGCCTCCTAGCAAGGCATGTTATGTCATCATGAGTAGGTCAAGAAACTACTCTGAGCTTCTATTCCCATCATGTAAGTGTTAGGTGGCAGGGTCACATCTCAAGCCAAGAGATCGATAAGATAGGCAGATACTCATTTGCAGTGTCATTAAAGAACCACTTTGGTCTAGAACTCTGTCTTTGTTTGGTTTTCTTTTTTATGTCTTCCCTTTCTTCTTCTTCCCCTTCCCCTCACCCTTATTCTCTCTCTGTTTTTTTTTTCACCTTGTACTCCTTCTTTTCTTCTTCTTCTTCTTCTTCTTCTTCTTCTTTTCTTCTTCTTCTTCTTCTTCTTCTTCTTCTTCATCTTCCTCATCTTCTTCTTCCTCTTCCTCATCTTCTTCTTCCTCCTCCTCCTCTTCCTCTGCTTCCTCCTCCTTCTTCTTTCCTTTTCTTTCTCTCCTTTTACTAGCAATCAGGATCTCATCTGAAGGTCATGATCACTCCTGGCTCCATGCCCTGGAGAAGATATTTGTCTCTCAGGCAAAAACCTAAAGAACTCTGTGGAACCTCTGAATCCCACCAATGTCACGGATAATAGGGATAATCCACCAAACACTCCAGCTCCGCAGCTTGGCCTCTTCAACATTAGCAGCTTTCTCCCTCTACTCTCCCTACCTACACTTAAGACCACACTATGTTTTAAATATGCATAATATCCCTCAAAGGCCCATGTGTTGCAGCCTCAGTCCCCGGGGTAGTGGTATTGGACAGTGCTGTGGACCTTTATAAGATAGGGCCTTGTGTGAGCTCTTCAAGTCCCTAGGAATGTGCAACCTCAGTCTCAGTCTTTCTGCTTCCTAGCTTGTGATGTGCGATACCTTTGCTTGGACACATAGTCCCCACCACTGCCATCTGACACCCTCATCAGAGGTCCAGAGTTCCAGTCCAAGACTGGAACCTCCAGAATCATGAGATAAATAAATCTTTTCTCTTTATAACTTATTTGCCTCCAGTATTTCATCATAGTAACATGAGCTAACTAAGACAGAATATAATCAGGAATATCTATCATCCAAAAGCCACCCAAGACTAAAATATTAAAGTTATAAAATCCGCCAAAACTTTGAATTCTATCAGTCCTTTCAAACATTGTATCTTGGTCCTTCAGCCTAGTAAAGACTTCCTTCTCTTGGGCTGTCTCTCTTTGTTTTTCTAATAATCCATAAACTCTTTAAGCTAACCTCCTTTTCTGGGAATGCATGCACTATGATCTCCCTGCTTAGACCAGTACCTTCAAGATTTCATATCTCCCTGCCTAGACCAGTACCTTCAAGATTTCATATCTCCCTGCTTAGACCAGTACCTTCAAGATTTCTTATCTTCTTCACCAAAATATAACTTTGTTTTACCCCAACTGCTGATTTCCTCTGCTCTTTGTTTCAAGTTGTGTTGGAAAGATACATTGTTGAACCTAATGGCACAACTACCAGTTCTCACTGCTATTCTAACCCAGAGTTCCTTTCTACCTTTTCCAGTGTTTAGAAAATACCTCCAAAGCTTGGAGTTTTCTCAGAGAGAAGACTTAATTCTCCTCAACTTTTCTTCTGCTTAGTGGGAAAAAAGTAACAAGTCCTCTTGGTGAGTTAGTATTTAGCTTTTAAAATTGCTACCCGCTATTTTTAAAAGCCAACTATCTTTTCTATCCAGTCTACAGAACAGAGCTGTGAATCACCATACACTCTCTCAGCTATCCCTGAGAGGATACAAATGTGCCGCCCTGGAGGAAAGAGACGAGCGATACCTGCGAACAGCATGCACTTACTATTGCTAATAGAGCGTACATGTGTGCTGTGCTAAACGCTGTATCTACATTGCTTTATTTAATCTCCATAAAATCCCTGTCGGTGGGTACTATTGGTATCTCATGGCACAGATGGAGGAATAGACACTGAAAGGTTAAATACCCTCCCTAACATCACATCACTACGAAATGAAAAGCCAGGATAAAATACTGACGTTCAGAGTTTTTCAGAGAATTAGCCAACTCACTCAGTAAATTCAAATATAGGTTTGTCTTACTTACGTCCCTTTATAATATCCTCACTTACAAAACGTATGGGGATAAGAATGCTGGCATCCTCAGAGCATCCTGGGTAGTAATTCAGCTGATTATGGCTAAGTATTTTGCATGTAAAAATATGAGTTGTGACAAAAGAACTAAAACACCTCACAAAGAGTTCCCTGTGTTCATACTTTCCTAACAGTATAAAGTATGGCTGAAGATCAGGAAAATCAGCTCAATACATCCTTCAACATTGTCATGAACACTGCAAGACAAAAGACACAAACAGACCACCAAAACCCATAGGTTGACCCTAGGCATCGGAAATGAATATGTCACCAAAAAAAGACTTCACATCTGTCTATTGTGTTTACATACCATGACTACCATCTTAAAGTCTCTAAAGGCTGGGCATGGTGGTGTAAATCTGTAATCCAAAGGACTCAGTAGGTGGAAGTTAGAAGATTATAGTCCCAGGAAGGTCTGGGCAAAAGAGAGAGACCCCATCTGAAAAACAAACTGAAAGCAAAAGGACTGGAGCTCGGCTCAAGTGATAGAGTGCTTGTCTAGCATGAGGCCTGAGTATTAGTCCACAGTACTACAAAAAGAGAGAAAAAAAAAAAAAGATTTCTTGGGTACTTTCCCTAACCCATCAGAGAGTGGAAACGGAAGCAAAAGTCCTCCTCTGTGATTTTCAAAGAGAATTAGACCTTAATGCCACCTGGAAGTCAAAAACAATTGTCTAAACCATCTTGTTGAAATTGAAATACTATTGTCACAATACTGTTTTCTTTTAAACCACTACAGCCTTTGGAATATGATGGAGGTAGGTATTTGCAACCCTAAGGAGAGTCAATTCATTTTTATTCTTCCAACCAATTGTATCAGATGGTAATTGCAATAATTAGCAGCATTTACTCTGAACACTCCTAGCCCCCCCAAAAGTTTGCACTCCTGGCTCAGCTGGATGACCCTGGAATCTGCTCATTGCAGATTTTTAAAAGTTACCTGTCTTTGCATTTACGTAATGTTATATTGGGTCATTCTTCTGATGTCATAATTAGTCAATTTAATTAAATAAGCAATGTCATAGCAATGCCTTTTCAAAGTCATGGCCGAAAAGGCTGTGGAGCCCTGATTAATGAAACACATTATCAATAGGAGGGAAACAGTGTACCTCAGACAGAATGTGTGGCTTTAGATCAAACTATTGCAGTAAACTGAAACCAGCATCAGTTTGTAGATCATCTTAAGCCAAATCAGAATGAAACGTGGCAAGGCTTTACAAGGTTGGTCAGGAATGATCCACATAGGAGTTCTGCCTGAGAGAGCCCAAGTGAAGTAAGAGGAAGACAGGAAACATCTCATTGCTAGGTGTCAGTGCCTAGACAATGTAAATAAGGCAGTTGGCACAGCATGGCACAGTCCATTACCATTCTGCTTACCAAAGCCTAAGCAGAGTGAGGAAGGCATCACTTCTAGTGTTCAA